AAAGACCAACAATTTGAAGTATAAAAGCATGTGAAACAAGTATGAACATTAATCAATCATTAAACCACTAAAAACTGGAATTCGAGAAGTTGCACATCGTTTTCTACCTTTTGCTGGCCAAGGATTTTGTTTCCAAATGTAATGAAAGCGAATATCAGTCTTGGAGCCGCGTACCCGTAACCAGTAGGCATAGGTAAATATTCTGCCTTGTCACCGTTTTCAATTAGAGGCACATCTTTAACCTGAAAAAAGACGATTCTCTTGAAGGAAGCTAACTCACAAAAGGGAAAAGAGCGTTCACACTTCGCGGCGGCGTTTCGAGCGTCTGTCGGAGTTTTGAGCGACTACAAAAGTACAAGTTCGACCCAGCATTTCGAGCGTCCACCAGTGTTTTGAGTAGGATCCAACAGCGTTTTATGCCAGCCAGCGTCATGAGCGTCCACCAGCGTTTTCCTTTCCGAGTCTCAGAGCGGTCAAAACGCTGACTGACTATCAGAATGCAGCCGCAAAGTATGAACGCATGTTAAAGATAGTGATGATGTAACGAACCGCATCGAAAAGCATTTGCTTCTTGTAAAACGCACAACAAAGCAGACTGTAGGTCATATGCGGAATACCGTTCCGATGCATTGGTCGAATCAGTTGGAATGGACCTGCAAGCAGTCACTTTGATATGAAAAAAGCGAAGCTAAGGCTGTGTTCATACTTTGCAAATGACAAGAATCCGTGATCTAGCAGAAATCGCAGTTTAAAAATCGGCGACAAAAATTATATGTAACGATACGATTATACGATCTGGAGAACTGCTATTCAAAACAGTACACTCGGGGGAACATAACGGTAAGATGAAAACAAAGCCTAGTGAGACTTATGTTATGTTTCCCGATTGTTGGCGCTCAAAAGCGAAGCAAGCGTTCGCTCGAATTGTGCTTTCTCAATACTATGCCAGTCAACGGAGCCAACCGATTCCCATCTAATCCGTAGCCACCGACTCTTCAGAATCATGGGTTCTTTCAAACTGCAGATCTCCCAAACCGCAAATTCTCTGCATTCGAAAAAGTGAATGGGAGGAGTAACGCGGAAACGCTGCCAACCGTTGAAGTCACACCGGAAAGACTATACTAATTAATTTCAAGGACGAGTCTGAGATGCCAAAGGAATCGGTGGGGGTTGGGAGCTACCGTTCTCCAAAGGAAAGAGATTTGTAGCGATAAATAAACGTCGCACGTTCTCACAAACGCTCAGCAAGCTTGAGTGCGCCCACACTTTGCGCCTTTTCAGCGTTTCAGGGTAGGAGTGTGTTTATATTTCGCATCGCCGTTTTGAGCGACTAGGAGCGAACGAAGAAAGCATAGATATCAGCATGCCAGTCGTAGTCACTGAAAACGATGGCGTATGCTAAAAACGGTCAAACCACTGGGTCGGCACCTACACTATCTCAGTCGCTAAAAATTCTCAAAACGCTGGGGTTCGCTCCAAACGATCAGAACGTTGGCGCGAGTTATGAACTCACTCCATATAATCACGTCGCATATTCCAAGTATTACGAGTGATCTTATTGCCAAAAAAAGAAACAGATAGAGATTCAAAAGGGACCCTGATCCTTCCAAATAATACTATTCCTTCAATTACGATAAAAAGTCAATGAATAGATCAAGCTGAAATCCCGAAAACTCTACGAAAAACCAAAACAGCACCAGACACCCATAGATTTCGAAAAAAAAACCTGCTCACAGTGAATCATACCTTCGATCAAAAGGAAGGGAAAATATTCATCAGAACTCCGAAAAAAGTAGCTCTACCTCAAAACTTGACCATACCTAGAACACCTGGAGCGATGGCGTAGACATCTTGCTCAGTGAGATTAAGTAATTCTCGCTGCTTCGTGCTCATACTGGAGCTTGCGGCACCAAATCTTCGCGCGACATCCTCGCCGCAGAAATTCTTCGCTACCAGATCGGCCAGCTTATCCTGGAAGAGTGACCTTTCAAGCGAATTGGAGCACAATTATTTCGAGATAACTGAAAATAAAGGCAGATACTAGGCACTGTTGGAACGCGCTACGTTCGCTGCGCGAGCATTGCATCTGGACGTAGGTATACAGCATTAAAAAAGGTTTCCGAGCAGATTTCAAAGTTATAGCGATCTGCGATGCGGCGATAAGTAAAAATGTTGGATAATCTTAGTGAGTGTATTTCATAGCAAAAAAGTAAAGTGATTTTCTTGAGCAAAACCTGTCTTGATGGTGAAAGGGGCCTTTTGCAAGTGAATAGACGATGCACTAATGCAAATTTTGACAGTAGGACACCGGGATACAATCCCATTTGCATCTCATAAAATGAGAAACTGAAGATCCCCAAGCTTGTTCCTCGAAGTCCATCCGTCATTGACGAAAAAACAATGCCTCAGTTGAATGTTTTCGACAAAAATGAAAAGTTGACAGTCTATGAATGAAGCTTACGACCCAGAAGCAAAGTCTGCACAGGCAAGCCTCGGCACATTTATGAATTTTCGTCAGTAAAAAGAGCGCAGTCGAACGCTGCGACCCCGAGAAAAATCGCGCTGTAACCAACGTGTTAAGTTACACCCAGGAACATTCCCACCATTACCGAAAGGATAAAGACTCCACCGCTGATCAAGCACTTATTTGAATGTGACATGTACTCTTTTTCCACTTAGAACTGGGTACCGAGCACGTGGTAATTGTCCCACTCGCCTCTACATCAACTTGCACTCCACAACATCATATCATGTATGATTAGAAAAAAGAAAGGAAACTGACCAAAAAAGTCTCCGAAACCTAAATGGTCCGGTTTGACGTACCATCGCTATAAAATAACAGAAAAGGAAACGAACCTTGAAAGCATGTTGACTGATAACTTCGAAGACTTTCTTAGTCCCTGTAAGGACTTCTGTCTCGTCAAACATGCCCGTCGCTTGGAAGAGTTCATAATTCGCTTTGGCCTGAAGGAGAAACAATCAGAAATCCAAACAGGAAGTTCGTTTTCCCCCAGTACCCTAACAATGCAACGTTTTTTTACGATGAAGAAGTGACTTACTCGGACTTTCCTGAAGAAATGCCTAATCATCATAAAACCAAAAGGAACCATATTGACGAATCCTCTTTCTGGTCGTAGTTCGACCTAAGCAATTCAGCTCAAGAGAATGACTTTAAAAAGTAGGAATCAATGTGCTTGATAAAAGTCTCACTGGGTGCATTATCTTCCCCAAAAATTTTCGCTCTACTATGGCAAATGGTTGCTCTTCCATTGGCCATTCATGGGGCTGTTTTCGGAAGCGCTGCCTAAATGACGTAAATTTACAAGGAAATAATGCAGAAACTCACCATTAGTGATAAAAACTCACACAATTTTTAGAACGTTTTCGCTATCTTCACCAAGTTTCCGCTCTAATATTAACTTTGTAACCTGTGCTGCATCTGAAATCATGAAAAAAAACAATCTACGTTTGAGTAAGCTGTGAATTTCCTAAGCTCAGGAAAGTCTAACGTATAGGAATTATCTGAAATCTTCCGAGTAAACTAACCTCGTGGCCTTCCGGAGCCAGTTGAGCCATCCTCTTTAGCTAGACTTCGAGAACATAAGCTCAGTAGACGATTTTGAGCAAAAATTCTACTGAGCGAAGGATACAATCGTGTCATCAGGACACGGTTAGTATAAGGCAATAGTGTATGAAAGAATGCAAGGGGTAAAACCGATGAAACCGCAGAAATCACCGCCAGAGCATCTGTGAATATCCCTTCTTTTCCAACGTCAACAGCATGTACTAGACGCAAACACTAATATCACACGACATAATTGCAGAAATAGGGGTTGCGTGCACCGTGCTGCATCCGTTTGTGATGTGGGGGGCTCGCGTTTCAGGAGCACAGTGTACGGCGGGGATAGGTGGGGCTGGGTTCAAGAAATAAAGCATAGCTGGCTGACTGAGCGAAACGTGAAGGGAACACCAGGAAAAAAACCACCAAACGTGCCGCAAACAAGATCCTTTCACTAGCTAGCATTGTACGAGATTTCCGGGCACGGACGAGTCTCACTAGCTGCCCATGAAAGCGCCAACAGCTGTTTATGGATGTGCAGAACTGGAATTGAAGACATTTTGGAGCAGGTACTGTCAAAGGGGTGTGTAGCAACAGAATCGTCCGGTGCAGCTGGTGGGCGTGGCCTGCGACATACTTGCGGCGAGAAGACGAAGCGTGCTTCTGGCGGTTTGAATAGGGTTATTGAAGGGAAGGTAAATATTGATATCACCCAGGATCGAGTCTTGTGTTCAGTTACGGTTAAGTTTTCAGTTAGAGTATGAAAAAGTTCAATAGAGCACGAAATTCATTGGGGTCTTTAACATTTGCTCTGGTTTGTCATCTTTTACAGCAGCTCACAGAAAAACTTGGCCATCCGTCTATTATATTGACGCTGGCGACTGCGCAAATCATGTGAACCACATAAACATAGGGAGAATCACTATCTGATTTCTTTTGTATCTGTTTATTTCCTGAAGTTGCGTTTATGGAACCGCCAAACAATTGTGTGTTACTATCAAGAAAAACATCATTAGATTTTCAATCATTGATGAAACCTGCTAAATGTTGCGGATGTACGCTGTAGTAAATCATTTGCTCCAGTCGCAAAGCTATCGGCTAGCAAATGCACGTGAGCTGCTGAGTCATTCGCCGCGCGACGCGCCGCGTGCCGCGGGCGCTGCCCCGGACGATTCTGTTGCACGTCTCCCCTGTCAAAGCTATACTGGGAACCTGGATGCTCGCACACGGCGCCAACGATAAGCGTCATGGTGCTTCAGGCAGCGTTCAGGCTCAACGCGCTGTAAAGCGCAGCAACACGCGTTGCCGCGCTTTAACCTGCGCTTTGACACGTGTTGCTGCGCGTTAGCACCTGTTAAAGTAGTGATGCCGTCAATTCCACGGGTAATGGCTGTAATCAACAGAAAATAGGAGACAATTACCACACTCTTAACTACATCGCGCAGTGGGCTGGAACCACGGTGAATAGCTAGCCAGGTCACTTCCTGTGACACCATTACCATGCCCTTTGAGGTGACAAAAGTGGCACACCTCAGTTGGCTCCGGATATGCGCTATCTTCTACCACTTTCAGATAACTGTGTACAGTGCCTTTGGGGCAACTCATTTGTGTCCTTCCTCTGAGATCAGTATAGCCCTACCCTTCCCAGGCCTGGTCTCATGGGTGGAGAACGGGGGCAGCTTTCTTGCAGATGGGCCTGGTCTCAATTACATACGTGGCAAAAAGAGCCATACTGTAAAGTGGACCACAAGAAGAGCAGTATAGTGCGACTCCAAGAACTACGGAAAACAAATGTATTCCTTAAAATATGGGGTTAGGTGCTCCTGTAGACGCTGATTCTCTCCTCTTCCCAGGCTCAGCCTTGGAGGAACCAGAGTTTGCATTGCTTCGTCTTGGGGCATGGGGCACATAGGTACGGACCTGTACGTGTTACGATCTAGTAACAGATGCGGGTTTGAGTTCCGTCCGGGGCTAATCGAGTTGGGAGAGGAAGGGAGCAAAGGGTAGGCGGGGGCACTTCACCTAGCCACCCACATAGCTGCGTACCCCTGCCTACCCTTTGCCCCTCGCCTCTCACAACATTAGCATAGTAAGCGATATCAGTGTTCCAAAGCTGTTCTAGATTTGATAACACTGTTTAAGGCCACAGGGCGCACTCCAGAAATTATCGCAAGAATGCTGAAATATTGGCAAAAGTCGGACCCGGGACGGGACTCGAACCCGCATCTTCTGATTTCAATGTGTTATTGTGTTAGTAGTGTTACTATTTCGTCAAACTGCTGTACCTCTCGAGGTTTTCATGTGGACTATTTATTTGGCCTAACGTTTCGACGTGGTCGTCTTCTTCAGAGGCCTAAACGCGTTTCGAGCGAAGG